AACGTATTAACAACACGGCGTTATTACCATGTTGCCATCCAGTTGTCTGGTGCCACATAAGAAAGCTTTCTCCTAGATCGTACATGTACATACTCGTGTAACAAAAAAATAGCGAGAAAATACTTTCCATTTCCGGTGGCCATGACCTGTTCACTCTCGCAAGAAAATTATTATTGTTATGGTGGTAGTAGTGGTAGTAGTGGTAGTAGTGGTAGTAGTGGTAGTAGTGGTAGTAGTGGTAGTAGTGGTAGTAGTGGTAGTAGCAGCAGTAGTTGTTGTTGTGATTGTTGTCTTGTTGTTTTGTTTTTATTTACCCGTCATTCATTGCACGTCTACCTGTACTCGCGGTACGACTACTCGTACGGAGTGGCAGAACGGTGCAGGCACTCGGTACGCTGCTGCACGCAGGCCACCGTAACGCGTAGCTGATGCATTACGTCTTGTCAAGATACGGAGTGAGCGTACAAGAGGAAGAGGGTACCGTTATCTCCAACGTTACCGCGTGAGTACAATTACTCCGTACATGTATTACGGGATTACAGGTACCGGGCTGACCATGTTACTCGTAACAATACTTCTGTTAGCTGCTCCGCACGGGTCTTGCTAGCGGGAGTACTCGGGTGCTTATCAGACCAGATAGCCAAGGCCTGGACGATAACGTCGCCGTACATGATAATATGTACAGATACTGCCTACAGTTTAGCTGTATATTCCTAGGTATTCGTGGAGGAGAAGGAAGGCAAGATGCAGACGCAAAATAACATTGGACGGATGGCGACGTGCTGCATCAGCCATCGATAGCCCCCATGGCTCTTGGTAGATCTTGTCGAGCAGCGGCGTACAAGTAGCTGCGCATTCCTGTACCATGACGCTCTAATCATGGCCGCCGCATCATTACTATTCTGGTCACCGCTTGGCCAAACACGGGGGATCACGTTACAGTGCTATTACTCCGTAGTGGACGGATAATCAATCGTGTTGATAATTCTACTCCCGCACAGATTACAGATTACATGTACCCGTACTAATAATAATTGATGCTAACCTCTTACGAGCGCAAGCACTATTATTATCATTACTAACAACCAACTAATGCTACCAATGCTACCACTGCATCACCGTGCTTGGAGCTGCTATTACGGGTTAATACAAATGACGCAGAGGGAGGAATTATTGCATGGAGCAGCGTGTGGTATATGCCGAAAGGAGCAGAGATTGCCTCCCATTGTCCTGCCGTGCCCTCTCCTTCGATCTAGTATTATTACCGCACCTGGTTAATTAACATGGTCAATTAATACAACAAGGGCAGTGCACGCTCGGCGGTAAAGCGTGCCCGCGCGCATGTAAATTGTACAAGTATCGATACGGAGTGGGCTAATGCTGATATGTGAACGTTGTTAAGCCGTGAAAGACGGTATGATGAGAGAGCGGATTGTCTCTGGGGGTGAATTGTCCTAATCATCTGTCATCGCTCTGCACCTACCTACGTGTACAGGTACTAGAGGGTTGCACAGCAGTAATATTACCTACCTGTACGGAGTATATGCAAGTACATTATGTATTACTTGTATTACCTGTATAACAATAATAGTCATCTACGGTACGGTACGTTGATCGTTGTGATGGTAACCCCCCCCCCCCCCCCCCCCCCCGTACGGTGCCAAGTGCTGACTACTACGAGTACATGTAATGATATACTAGTACGTAGTGATAGCACGTACGTGATGTGATGCATGGGGTCCAGGACTGCAAGAGAGATCCGGAGAGATTGACCAACATCCAGCACATGGTAATACCGCATCCCGCTGTAAATTGCTCAAGATACAGATTACAGCGAAATCAGCAACTGCTGCGGTACCTGTACAGTACCTGTACAGTACCCGTACGGCTCAGCTGCTAATCTCACGGGGAAAGGGCATTATCGCTTCGAGCAACTTCGGTAACCCTTTGGAGCCAAGGGTCCGTGTCTTAGCGCAGGTTGGTTCAATGCCATGGGGGAGGTAACGATCCAATCAGACGTGCCATCGGCTCTCCTCTTGCACCATCTAACACGAGCCTGTGAGGGAGACGAAGAGTGGAAGAGAGAGATCCTTACCGTCTTTTCTTCTTCTCCTCTCTTCTTTCTTCTACTCTCTTCTTTCCGTTCCCTGTCCCTTCCTCTTCTGTCCCTTTCTCTCTAAAAAAATTTCCCCCGATGCTTGCCCGATCTATTTCTCGGAGAAGATGTAGAGAGAAGATTGTGAGGATGACAGGGAGAACGACAAGATCGGAAACATGAGGGGACATCGGAAGAGGAAAGGGTCCAGTCTCTTCTCTTCTCTTCTCCTCACCCCTCACCCCCTTCGTCCAGCAAGGGGACACCCCTGGAACGGAATATTGCGATGGCAAAGGAAATCAGGAATTGCGACGGATGACAGAGAGAGAAATTACTTGTGATACCTGTTATTTTTGCACACTGTACAGTACAGATGTACGCGAATTAACGATTCCGTCCAGCCCCTCCCCCCGAACCACTGCAACTGCAATGCATGTACCACACCATCCTGTCTGTTGTCGTCCTGCAATCAACCTCCTCGGGTTACGTCGTAACGGGTGCACCAGAGTCCATGTATTATTACCAGCCTGCTTGTGCGTGCGACTACTCATGCTGGCCGTAGAGGTTGCTGCTCCTGCTCCTGCTGCTGCACAGATAAATGGTTCCCCGATCCGCCTAGTCCAATGAGCCTCAAGGATGGACCCGAATGAATGGGCCCCCACAGAATTCATGGTAAAATTGTTCTGGCAAGGCAATTTTTTTTTAAAAAAAAAATTAAAAAAAAAATAGCGAACATTGAACAGCGAGGCAAAAGAGAAGGTGAAGGGGTGTGTGATGGGAGGAGGGTCATGATATGTGAGATTTCCAATTCTCCACCATCCTTATCCACTGCAAACCGGAGCACACACACGCAGCAATCACTTCGTGTTGTGTGGGGATTGCTCGTAGTGCCCTGCTGCGTCAACTATCACTACCGTACTCCAGCCGTAACTCGTAATGCTTGGTGCTTGGTAGTATTATTGCCGCTAGGTACTTACAGCACCGCTACAGGTACGTACGTATGTGTAGCTTGCCGGAGAGAGATGGACAGACTTCCACTATGGAACAAAAAAAAAGAAGGGAGGTCCGTCTATGGAGGGAAGGCTCCAGTGAGGTCCGTCATGGTCATGGTAGAACTTGTACGAGTACCTGCCCGGTGGTGAATCTACATGTAGCTGGTTCTCTACTGGAGCACCCCCGACGTCACCTCACCCCTCCCCCCCTGGCGTTCGGTGCTCCCGCTGATGAACAGCGCCAGCAACCTTACAGCGTCCATTATTATGGACCCGCCTGCACCAAAAACGGTGCTGCTGACGCGCTGTTGCTTCCCGGCACTGCTCCTGGTCCGAGGTGCCTGGAGAGCCCCTACACACCCGCTGCAATCTGGTGGGTTTCTTTTACGGTGGCGGCCGTCTGCGGAGTATGAAAGGTGCGAGTAATGCTCTTTCCCTTCTCCATACTACTCTGTACTGCTATGGACCTCTCTCACTCTCTATCCCCATACTAAAGCAATAATAATACTGGTAGCGTTAAATATTCTTACCTGCATACTGTGGCCCAGTCCTTCTCCCCCGGGGGCCACCATTGTCTTGGGGCCAGTGTCCATTGAAGCAAACCGCCTGGCCCCAGGGAGCCACTGAATTCCGCTGAGCCACCTGGGGACCACACCCAACGCACCCCCCCCCCCCAATCCAGCACAGCACTCACGCTCCAGTGACCTGCTATCCCATCCCGGACGGCCTAGAATCCTCTTTCCATCTCTCTCTACTTCCTCTCCTTTGCCCCCTTCCCTTTTTCTCCCCTCCCCCCAAACTATCACCACCTCACCTTTGTCGAATTATCTCCTTTCTTTTACCATCTTCCCCCCTTTTCTTCTTCCCTTTCTTTGCCTCATCCATTTTTTTTCTTTGTATCTTTCTTCTTCTTCCTTTTGACTTGTTTGGAAATCCCTCTCCGTTTTGTGTTCATCTCCCATCTCAGCTTATTTTCTGTGAAAGAGAGAGAAACGCCGGGTGGTGCCACTACAGACCCCTATTTACCTCGTCCCAATCCCCCCCAAATCCGCCGACTTCGAATTCTCCCCCCCCCTCACCGAACGGCAAGAATACACAAGAGAAAACATATTACCATTCGCGACTATCACATCTTGCTCTTTTTTATTGTTCATTTGTCCATTTTGAGCGTTGCTTTCGACTTGCATCCACCGATATCGATCTCGACTCATCCTCTTCCCCCCCCGCCGCTCTCCACAAGTCGTGCCCCAGCATTTCTTTGACGCAATCGAAAATAGCCCCCCCCGTTCATCCGAAAGACCTCGCTGTTCTTCTTATTCCTGCTGGCCTCTTCACCTGATATCGATATTCGAGGCTCCGATATTTAGGGAGCTTGGAGAGGATTGTCCGGTTCCTCTGGGCACGCCTCGTACACCTACGAAATCATCATTGTTTTCTCCCTGTCTAGCTTTGCCCGCGGTGAAAGCGAGCACTTTTCTGGGCACAGATTGTCTCCCGGTTGCCGGCAGCGTTGAAAAGACGCAGCCTTCGTGTGACATCTTCACTGCTGTCCACGACGCGTTGAGCGAGTTCAAGTTTCCTCAACGGGCCTTGTACTCTGTTTACAATCTTCCTTGCCGTGATCTCTTATCGAAGTAGCCAACCAAGGCTCACTGCAATTTGGTGAGTTGGGATCTCTTGCAAGAGTTACCGAGGCGGCGTCTTGAATCTTTTTCTTTCATCTGTTCTGAGTTGGTTGCTGACTTGATTTGTTTACTTGGAAGGCGCTTGGCATCTCTCAGAGAGTCACGGTAAAGCACTTCATCGAGCCTTGTTCCCGTGCGAGCCCTGAATCACCCGTTGTCAGCTCATATATGGCACTTGACCTTTCGGGTTGATTGCGTGGTCCCAGTGCATGACGCGTGAGAAGTAGTATGGCTGCACTGGTCCAGACTTTTCCGCAAGAGACGGCCACCATCACAATGCTCCAGACCCGGCCAAACTCTGCCACGGGCAGGATGCCCAATGGCCAGCAGACGATCCCCCAGTACGGCTCTGCCTCTCAGGCTCCCCGGACCTTCAACAGCGCCGCCATTTCCGGCTACCGCGGGACTCCCGTTCACCAGTACGCCTTCCAGTCCACGCCCAGCCTCAAACAGTGGGAGCCGCAAACCTCGCATCGCGTCTCGGATCGCGACTCGACCTCTCAGCGCCACCGATTCCCTACCCAATCCCAGATGGCCACCGGCTCTCGTGATGACTCGGCCCTCCAGCAGGGTCGTCCCTCGACTCGCCCTCAGGCTCAGGCTCAGGCTCAGGCTCCCGTATCCCCCAAAGCGACTCCCGATCGCTACAGACGCGGCAGTGGTGGTCAACACGCACGCTCTCAGAGCGCTTCCATCCCAATGACCAACAGTCTCCCCGCCACCACCCAGTTCTACAATGTCGGGAACGCACCCCGGACGACGGTGCTCAACCGGCCCACCAGCTTCTACGCCACGGTCCCCGCCTCCATGGATGACCTGCACCTCCAGTCGAAGCCCGAGCAGGTCAACCTCAACAACATGAGGCGACGAAGCGTCCAGGGTATCGATTCTGCCGCTCCTCTGCCCACTCAGGGCGAGCCGGCTTCCATTCCTGCGGCCGCCGACAAACAACTCAAGGCAGTACGGACTGGCTCGTACAACTCCGGCCACTCGCGTAGCGGCAGTTCCGAGAGCGGCCACTCGCGGACATCGGTTAGTACTCCCCTCCCATCTCTGCGTGCTGTTCGATGCGGCCCCATGCACCAAACCCCCCTTCGCTCTGAGCCTTGACTGACCATATTCCTGATGTATAGTCTGGCACGCGAGGCGCAGCTGTTGAGGAGACCCCCAGCGCTACCAAGAGTGACCAGACAAAACCCTCGCCAGTTCCAGCTCGTGCGTCGTACGCTGATGCCATCAAGCGCACGTTGAGCCCATCGCCTCTGTCGAGGTCGGGCACGGTGGCAGATGATGCCGAGGATACCACCGCGCCAGCTTCCGGACCTAAGCCTGAGTCTCTGGCTGTCCAGCAACTTGCCGCCATCCAGAAGGGAGGTAGGGCCAAGAGCAAGACGTCAAGGCTTCGCCGCGCCTTCTCGTTCGGCAGTGCAGCCGAGCTGCGCAAGGCGGCCGGCGGTCCTGTAGATCCCATCATTCCTCCTGAGACTGCTGCCCCCAAGGCTGGGAAGGAACTGGGTGTCGACGGGGAGTACGATGCCGAGCAGGCGCGCATCGCCGCCGCCCAGGAGGCTGGTGGCATTGGCAGCAGCATCTACGGCGGACGCTTCTTCGGAGGATCCACCGATAACCTGTCCATCTCGTCGACGGCTTCGTCAGCTTCGATTATGATTCGAAAGATGGGTCGTGGCATGAAGAAGAGCTCCCGATCTCTGGCTGGCCTCTTCCGACCAAAGTCTGTTGTCGGCGTCCCGCCTCCTGACAATGTGGCGCCCGAGGGGAGCGTGTCGATGGTGACGGCCGAGGCCGAGACGCAGAAGGTCAACGTGACTGCCAAGCCGCAGCCCACCGATGCCTTCCCACATCTCGAGAGGATCTCGCTCGATGCCAATCGCGTACCCGAGATGCACCACGAGCGCACAAACAGCTCCGAGACAGACAGCTCGCGTAGAAGCATTGTCGGAGGTGACAGGGAACGGGCCGAGGTCCTGGCCGCCGTCCGCAAGGGCATACTCAAGCGTGAGTGCTCTATCTGCTTTTGCTCCCTCTCTTGTCAACCAACGCTTTTTCCGTCTACTTCTGAGAGGGGGTCATCTAAACAACTGTATCGTTACTGACCTTCCCCAGGCACCGGTTCGTCGAGTCCATCCATACGCCCCGCTGACGGGGCCTCGAATCTCCCCACGGTCCCCGCCATCAGTGACTCGCCAAACTCGAGCGCGCCCAGCACGCCCAACGACGAGGTCCAGGGCCACCGCAGGACGGGCTCCGTGGCCATTGGCAGCGAGGATTACTTCATGTCGGCCCTCCGTCTCCGCCAGGATTCGAAGAGCAGCACTCCGGGAACACCCAATGGTGTCATTAAGCGCAATGCCACCTTTTCTCCTCGCCTCGTGTTCCACGAAACCTGGCCCAGCCAAGAGTATGATAGGCGTGGAGAGATTTCTACGTGCAACCGTCTCACGCCCATGCTTGCTCAGCAGATCAAGGAGGAGCTCAACACTCTGAAGATGGTTGGTCCCCCCCGCCTGCGTGATGGCTGTTCAGTAAGACGAATACTAATGAGATGAACAGGAAATGGAGGTCCATGAGAACTCGAAGATATACACCCACTTCTTCTAGACGATTCGGTGCATAACCGTTTCAAAAAAAAAATCAGCAAACAAAAAACAAGAGACCAAACACGAACACGAGCACGGAGAAAAAGAAGAAGAGAAAGAAGCTGAGCTCCTGGGACCAAGTCACACCTGCCAACACACGACATGTCAGCCGCAACCACTTCCTACACACTCTACTACATTCTTTTCTTCCTTTCATCTGGCGTTCAGGGACAGCATAGTCAGGCGTCATGGCGTTTTCGACACTATTTTCCATTTCACAGCTTTGCCATTGCCTTCATTTTTTATTTCCTTTCCTATTATCATTCTCTTTAGTAAAGGAGTCAGCGCACTGGCCAGTGTAATGGGCCACATACGGTCTGCGGAGAGCGCCGGTAGAACCTGGAACAAAGGTTTTTGACAAAGGACGCGAGGCTCCTCGGATCAGCAGCACAGTTGGAGAGGGACAGAAACCAACAAACGGAAACCCCTTGGGAGGCAACGCAACAATTGGAAACACTCTCGAGTAATGTTATGGATATTGAGTGCCTGTTGCGCCGGCACAAGGAATAACAGGAGTGGATCGGATGGTGGTGCTGCTGTTGCGTTGCTGACTTTTTTTTTTTTTGTCTTTGTTCGCGGGCGAGATTCGTTGATCTGAATCACTTTTGCAAGTATCTGCTATAAATTTTTTTTGTAAAATTTTTTCTTGGTATATCGGAGGATCAAGCGAGACACTTGAGAGCGTGTGATAACTATATTTGAGGACTTAATTTGATCTGAATTGCTGACATGTGATGTTTTGTTTTGCTGTGAAGATTGGAGTTTGGGACTGGAGGACGGGTAAAAGGGGGTAGGGGTACGTAACTGGAAGAGGGCCCCATTTATAGAAAGGGACCGACAGCCTCGCCATCTCAGCCTTGCGTTAGTGTTGTATTCTTTACTAGTTTTTTCTTTTTTGTTTTTGTTTTTGTTTTATTCTTATTTGAAATCCTCGTTCTGGGGGGTTTGTCTTTCTTTGGTCCCTTTGCCACTCAAATTTTTCAAACGCTTGTTTTGGCGCGCCTCTACTGCAAGAAGAGTCCCACCAAAAGGTCGCGGCCGAAAAAAATAGTTTGATTCAGACCAACGACCAGACTTTTATTTTTATTTTTTATTTTTCTTATTATCCCGCCCCTCCTCCTAATTCCTCCTCCCCCCCCACCACCACCACCGCAACACTCGATGCGGTTATCACATGACTTCTGTCGCCGACAACGACCGACATCGATACGACCGAGAGCGCATCTAGCACGAGTCCAGGTGCGGATACAGACACAAGTACGAGTACAGATACAGCCACAGCAGCGACTACGGGCTTTCGCAACAATGGGGGACTTCGGGGCCGAAGTCAAGGCTCAGCCCGAGGTCAAGGGGACCACGTTGGAGGGGAAAAAGACTAAACTTCACGGAAGGGCCTTTTACGAGAGTATCGGGAGTCCAAAGTATATTGTTGCGCCTATGGTGGATCAGTCCGAATTTGTATGTTTCCCAACATGTAGCATGGGAAGGGTGGAAAGGAAAGAAGGGACAGAGAATGAAAAGGGATGAGACTGACAAGATATCAAACCCGACAACAGGCCTGGAGGATGCTCACTCGGTCCTTCCACCCGAAAGAGGAGCAGTCGAAACTACTGGCTTACACGCCCATGTTTCACGCGCGGCTCTTTGCGGAGGAGGAAAAGTATCGACGGAGCCATCTGCAGGCCACGCGGGCCGCGGCCGGGACGACGACCGAAGAGAAGAAGAAGACGGAGAAGAAGGAGAAGGGAGACGAGAGCGAGAAGGGAGACGAGGGAGGCGAGGAGCGCGAAGGAGAACAGCTCTGGCTAGATGGCAACCCGGCCATGGACCGACCACTATTCGTCCAATTCTGCGCCAACTCACCGGACCACCTCCTCGCGGCGGCGCGGCGCGCGGCCCCGTACTGCGACGCCGTGGATCTGAACCTGGGGTGCCCGCAGGGGATAGCGCGCAAGGGTCACTACGGCTCGTTCCTGCAGGAGGATCAGGACCTGATCTGCCGGCTGATCGGCCGGCTGCACGCGGAGCTGGACGTGCCGGTGACGGCCAAGATACGCGTGCTGGACACGCCCGAGGCGACGCTGGCGTATGCCCGGCGGGTCCTGGGTGCGGGCGCGTCGATCCTGACGGTGCACGGGCGGCAGCGCGAGCAAAAGGGCCACCTGACGGGGTTGGCGGACTGGCAGGTCATCCGGCACCTGCGCGACAACCTGCCGCCCGACACCGTCCTCTTCGCCAACGGCAACGTCCTGCAGCACGGCGACGTGCAGCGGTGCCTCGACGCCACGGGGGCCGACGCCGTCATGAGCGCCGAGGGGAACCTGAGCGACCCGGCCATCTTTGCCGCCGAGCCCGCACCCGGTGACCACCCGCGAGAGTACTGGCGCGCGGTCGGCAGCGCCGACGCTGACGGCAACGAGAGCAAGAGCAAGCCCGTCTTGTCCGGCTGGAGGGTCGACGCCGTCATGAGGCGCTACCTGGACATATTGCACAGATACGTCGACGACGAGGAGCCACCCACCCGCAGACCACTATTCGTACCCGGCGATGATGAGACATGGCTGCTCGAACCTCCACAACAACAACAGCAGCAACAACAACAACAACAACAACAACAACAACAACAACAACAACCACAGCAGCAACAACCACAAGGACAACAAGAACAAGCAAGCGAAGAGCGTCCCAGCAAGAGGCGCAAAACCAGCGACCAGCAGCAGAAGAAATCCACCAAGAAACGCGGCAGCGACGCAACCTCCAACCCCAACATGTCAGCCGTGCAGGCCCACCTCTTCCACCTCCTTCGGCACCTGGTATCGCGCCACACCGACGTGCGCGACATGCTGGCCCGCAGTTCCCGCGACGGCCTGCCGGGGTACGAGCGCGTCCTGTCGGCCGTGGAGGCCAAGGTAGCCCAGGGCCTGATTGACTACGACAGGACGCGCGGCCGGAGCTGGGACGACGAGGTGGCGGGGCTGTACGCCCGGCCGGACGCTCCGGAGCACGAGAGCTCCGTCGCCGCCCTCAAGAGGTGCGCGAGGCCCTGGTGGGTCGTGCAACCCATCATACGGCCCATGCCGGCCGAGGCCCTGGCCAAGGGTGCCGTCAAGCTGAGCAAGAAGGATGCCGAGAAGCTGAAGCAGAGGAGGGATGGGAAGGAGTAGGAAAATTCTGAATAGACGGTGTTGTAATGCCTTCCCCCCCATTTCTTTTGCACTACATAGACGCAAACACTACACACCTGTCCACATCTACACACTATACACGCACATGGGAGGGGGGGGGAACTCATATCCAACATCATGTATGTATACATCACTAGGATCTATGAATCGAGCCTAGCACAGTACAGATATATCATATGACTATAGAGAGAAGGAAGCAAAAGTAAAGAGAAGAAGAAAAAAAAAGAAAAAAGACTATTAGAAAAAGAGCAGTTCATTATCCCGCTATTGATACATTTCAATGAAAAAGTAAAAGGAAAAAAAATTGATGCCTCCCATACAATCTAATCATGTCCAGAAATAGAAAAAACCCCTTAATCGCCACGACGTCCCCTCTTCACAGGCGGCGGCGATCTGGACAAACTATCATTGTACCTCCTCCTCTTGGCAGGCACGGGACTAGGAGACCTCCTCTTGGGCCTCGAATCAACCGAGTCGGTCCTTCCACGACGGGATCTCCCCCCACCAGTACGTGCAGGAGCGCTGGGTGATGGTGAGCGCGACGGCTTATTCTTGTTCCCGGGAGGGACGGAGGCGTCCGCGTCCCTGCTCACCCTCCCGCCGCGACGAGGGGGGGTCGGTGACCGACTGACGGATCGGGAGTCGTAACGACGACGTTTCTCGTCGGCCGTAGCCGGGGTGGGTGAGCGGGAGCGGGAGCGGGAGCGGGAGCGTGAGGGGGACCGGCTGTACGAGCTGTACGAGGCGCTGCGGCTCCTCCTGCCTCGTGGCGAGCGGGAGCGCGATGGCGAGCGGCTGACTGGTTCGTCGCGGCGGCCGGATCGTCTAGATGGCGGTGGGGGGCTGCGCGTCCCGGACGACCGGGGAGAGTGGCTGCTACTGCGGGAGCGTTTGCCGCCCCTCGGCTGTGGCTGCTTGCGAGGGGGGGGCGAGGCTGATCGCGTGTAGGACCTAAAACTGGACCTGGACCTGGATCTGGAGCCGGACAAGGAGCGAGAGCGCGACCGCGACCGCGACCGGGAGTCGTACGACGCTGGAGACCGTGAGCTGCGACGGCCGCGGGGGGCCGGCGAGACAGATGCCGTGTACGAGCGGGCGCGGCGGCGGGGAGGGGTGCGTGACCTGGAGCGGGAGCGGGAAGAGTACGATGAGCCCGTGTAGGACGAGAAGCTCGACACCGAGTCTGAGTCGGAGTCGTCGCCGCCGCCGCCGCCGGCAGTGAGCGCGGCGGGCAGGGCTGGCTTGGGCATGTTCTGGAGGTGCTCGCGCATCTCCTCGGTCAGGGTGCCCATGCCGATGCTGGTGAAGTAGTTGATGGAGAAGCGGATGTTGCGGGGGTTGTCGCGGGGGAAGAGACCCTCAAGCTGGGGGCGGAGGACGTCGTCGGTCATGCGGGCCTTGAGCTTGGGCATGCCCAGCTCCTCGGTCATCTGCTGGAAGAGGATCTTGATGAATATGCGGCTCGACGACGTCGTCTCGTCCTCGTTCAGGTGGATGACCGACATGCAGTGCCAGCCCAGGGCGTCGGACCCAAACATGTGACCGAAGAGCATGGCAATGTTGCGCAGCTTGTTGTTCTCGTACCGGTGGATCGTGTCGTAGTACTTGACAAAGGCCTGCTCAAACAGGTCGCACCACAGCCGGTTGATCTTGGCGAAGCGCTCGCCAATCAGGCCGAAGAACTTGGTGTACGTCTTCTCCTGCGAGCAGCACTCGACAATCATGGACGGCAGCTCCGGCTCCTGGCCCGCGGGCAGGTTGATCTTCATGAGCTTGTGGACCGCTTCCTCCGGGTCCGCGCTCGACATGATGGTCAGGTATATCGTCCTGCGGAGGTTGACCAGGTCGGCGTTGGACTGGTCCTTGATCTCCATTGCCTTTTGCTCTTCCTCCTCTTCATCAGAGCTCTCATCGTCATCGTCATCCTCTCCATCGTCGTCGTCGTCGTCGTCGCTGGCTTCGCCGAGGATCTCGGCCTTGATCCTCTTGTACTCTTCCTCGTTCTCCTCGTATGCTTCGTCGTACTTGAAGATGTTGAGGCCGTCCTCGGCGTCGATGCTGTCGTCGAGCTCGACTCCGTGGGTGATCTGGTCCTCCTCTTCGACGAGGTCGAGCTCCTCCTTGATGGCGGGGTTGTCCTTGAACTTGTCCTTGCGGACCTGGAAGAGGACCTCGACCATGTACTGGGTGCGCTTGTCGATGTCAGCCTCGTGGAGAATGTTGCGGAACTGGTCAAAGATGGCCATGCAGACGGTCGGCTGCATCTCCTCGAGGTACTGGCCGACCTCGCGGCAGAAACCGACGGCGATCTCGACGCTGTCGTCGGTGGGCTTGTTGAGCAGGAGCAGGAGCATCTGACCGGCCAGCATCTCGTTCTGCACCTGGTGGTTGATGAGGTGGGCGATGAAGGTGGTGGCCGACAGGCAGACGGCCTTGTCGTTGCGGCGGAAGCCCTTGCGGAACTGCAGCACCAGGCGGCGCACCAGCAGCTCACCGACCTGGGGCAGCTTGGTGTTGACGATGGCCGCCATGGCCGCGTAGATGGGCGTGAATGGCAGACTGGCCGCCTGCGCCTTCATGATGGAGCGGCAGAACAGACCGCGGCCGCGCATCAGGTTCTCGCCAAACAGCTCGGGCACGATATGCTTGATGTTGGCCGTGTTGACCTTGTTGATCAGGCCGTTGATACTCTTCTTGAGCGCCTCCCACGCCATGCGCTGGTACTCCTTGGACGTCTTGTCCGTGATCTGCGACTGCAGCGCCCGCAGCCGCGCCGGGGGGATGTACGTGCCCCCCGACCGCATCGTCAGCAGTTTCTCGTACTCAGCCTTGGCGGCCGCCTGCTTCTCCTCTTCTGTGCGTGCGGGAGGAGGAGGAGGGGGTGATCGACGGGGGGGAGGGGCGCGCGCGCCGCCTGATGAGGGCGGAGGTCGGTAGGAGTCTCCGCCGTCGCGGGCCCCAGAGTCGCGCCGGGGCCTCGCATCGCGTCGAGGGATGTCGACAACCTCGGCCGATGCCATGGTTGCTGTTATCTTGTGACGTGACTCAGCAGCCGTCAGTTATCCTCTAGTTTTCTGCTTGTGTATTCCAAGAGGATGTTCCGGTGTTGCTGGCTGCTATGATGAGTAGCAGTTGGCTTTGTCTGTCTGGGGGGGGGGGGGTGTTGGTTTGAAGAGTGAAGTCGAGGCAAACAGAAAAAAAGAAGGCAGGTGATTGACCCACTTTGTCCCTAGATGCTATCAGCCACACATACTCTCTGCTCACGCCACATATCAACTGAGTACACAATTTCTTCCGACCTCTTTCAGTTGTCCAGAGATTTATATGTCCAGTCAAGCTCGCGATTACATGAAAGTAACAGAAACAGGTTGTATAGTTTATAAATATAATATCCCATTTTACCGTCATAAGCCTTAACCAGTCCTGAAGAAGGGGGGTCATAAAAATGTAAAAAAAACCATCCAGGTTGTGGCGCGTTAACTGGGTAGCCAAAAAAAAGGTAAGAAAATTGATGACTAAGGCCACCAATGTCATCATTCCCCTGAAGGCGCGTCCCGATCCCGCGCGGGCACCTCCATCGCCAACAATTGAACCATTCGTCCATCGCAACCAAGCTTCTGAAGACCGGAATCCCCATCCACTCCTTTCTTTTTCCTTCTTCTCCTCCTTCTCTCTTTTCAACCGGATTCCCTAATCTTGTGCTGATTCCTCCCGTTTTCCAATCATGGTAAGTACACAACACCCACAGACATTACACACCCCATGCCTTCTTCCCATGTGTGGTCTAGTTTCGAGGGGAGGGGTCTGTCTCTCTTGACACGACTCAAGTTGTGGGAAAACGACCTCGACTGACAAAAATAACCGACAAGTCTGCTGGCAAGCTCGTCGGTCTCGCCATGATTCTGGCCGCAACCTTTGTCTTTCTCTACTATACCATCTGGACACTTCTCATGGTACGT